GATTGGGGTTCGGGTCCGGTTGCGATGGGCTTTTTAACGATTTTGAGTTGAGAAGCTGCTTGAGACTGTGATTGGGGTGTTCGAGAGCTGAGTTTAAAATCTTTCGCTCGCACGCACATAGATAATATCCCTACAAAGTTTCAGCTTTCTATTTTGCCTGGTTCGCGAAATCGCTTTCCGCCAACATATTTTTTGAGGGGCCTGTACGCGGGGTCTAGGGTTTGTGAGGGGACATCTTGAAACGGGAGGTTGACACACGGGGTAGGAACATATACTTAAAGTTTCAGCCTCCCAGCTTTCCTGGTTGCTGAGATGAAAGTAGGTGACAAAATGCACTCGCTTCTGAACACACACATAGACAGCCTCTCGAAAAGTGCGTTTTTGCTGGCTGTAGCAGCGCTATAGCGCAGCAAAAACGCATAAAAATTAGAGGAATAGGAAAGTTTCGGTCCACAACCCATGTATTAACTAAACATATGTATTAAAAAAAGTCTGTATAATACTTTGTAGAAAATGAATGAATATAGAACGAACATCGTCGGGAAGGGGTGTAGCGCCAAGAGGTTGCATCTTATCCCAGGTAACCAACAGGCAAGTCTTCACTTTCACTACTTCATCATACTGATACCGAATTTCGCTTTGTCCACGTTCAAGAACACGGCCAGCTAAAATAGATAAAGTAAAAAAAACTATATCAATCAAGGCTTTTTTTTAATAAACATAAATGCGTCATAAGTACCTATTCAAACATACACAGACATACAACATACGCACATTCATGCATCATACAGATATAAAACGTATATAAACACACACACACACACACATCAAACACGCCTACAATAGCACCCACAATAACACAAGCACACAAACGCATTTGCATACACTCCGGTAAATTGTTTCAAATGCTACAGTACGGCTATTCATCTGTTACTATGTGCAGTGACAGAAGCAGTGTTGCCGATTTTGTAATTTAAATAGAAATTGATCAGATGAAATGGGAGTGAGTGTGCACAGGTGCTGCATGAGGAACTACGTGCACTCGGCAAGTTATTACCTGTGATTTCACGGAAGTAGACGTGGCCACCATTGCGCAGATCGTTCCGGTTCCAGAACGGAGCAATCAGTTTCAGGTCGCTCGGCAGTGCGTTCGGCCGATAGCTTCTCGTCTCCTGCGTTAGACCAAGAGCACCATTACTGAGTACCTGAAGCAGTACATTTACCGCTTAGGCTACCCACTCTCGCTAATTGGTGAGAAAAATACAAAAAGCACTGGCTCGTTAAAGCGCCAAAAACGAGGTGCGCACTCGACGGGTTAGGACGCAAAATATTCTGAATACATACACGTCTTTGTAGTTCCCCTAATCCACGCATATGCAGAATGTACGCGAACGAATTCATCCAAGCAAAATCATCATTTTACAGCACTTTTTTTGCACTTCTATTTATTATAACCCTTCTAGAATCCTACATTAGCTATTACAATACCTACGCCAAATGGAACTGCGTATTTTGCATATATTGCGAAATCTGTGCGAAAGCAAACAAGTGACACAGAACGAAAAGGTCGGCGCAAATGAGTTCCCCAAGTGGCTACATGTTTATACTAGTTATAATTAATATTGTGCAACAGTTCTTGGCCGTAAACAGAAT